AAAATTTGCAGATATACGGTTTCATATATTGCGATCAAGTTTTACTTAAGACTACTTATAGAATATCTTATTGTAATTATCTGATCGAATCTGATAGTACACTATAAATGAAACTAAGTCAATTAATCTAAATGGTATTACATCATGAAAATTAAATATATACTTTGATATATTAAAACAATTTTTTTAAAGCAACTTTGTAGCTTAAAGTATTAAAAAAGCCAAAAAAGAAAATTTTTAATTAAATTTACAGCATTTTATCAAAATTAAAATCAAATCTTTGATAAATAAGATATGTATTAAGTAGTCTTAAGAAAACTTGTTTGTACTACGTACTTAAGATCAAACTCTACCCCATTCCCTAAAATATTAGCTAATAATGTCATTGCCCTTAAGGTAACGGTAACGATAAGATCCACCAAATACGTAATCACATGTATCCTTATTATAATTGTTCAAAGAACACAACTTAATCGTACGTAAGGGTGCATGTTACAGCATACGTACATGTACATGTATTTGTTTTGCAGAAAACTAATGGTTTTATTAAAAATCGTACTAGCGGTTTGAGGTATGGTTGAGTCATGTTCATACATATCGGTAAATTACATGCGAAATAAGAATTTCTGATAGAAAGTTAAGATCATTTAATAGATCATATACAGTATTGAAGAAAATTTCGCACATGATTCAATTAAAGCAAATTGAAGTGCATTGTGTAAAAAGTAAGTTCAAGCTTGAATCAATTGGTTTTATTAATTTGAAAACAATCACGGCAAGCTTAGTAATTTATTCTAGTTTATATTTGTTATGATTCAAAGCATAAAAAATGGTTTATAGTTATGCGATTTATTACTTTGATTCACAAGGATTTAGATTTGATTTATCAAAAAAGTTTTTTTGACATTCAACGTATGATTTTCGAGCGCAATCTCAAATCGAACATGATAAAAGCAAATTTATCGAGTTAGTCTATAAATAGATCTTAAACTCTTACACAACAAGAATACTACTCCAAGACAAAGACAAAATAAGTTTGCCTATAAGTGTTTACACCATAGAAATTCTTTTTAAAGACAAAGTCATAGAACTTAATATGCTTACACAATAAAATACTAGTTAAACATTACCCTATATCGAGAATTTATATGGAATATATTTACGTTACGTTAACTGCTTTTAAAAACTAAAATAACAGTATGCTGCATAATGCATATAGGTTTAGCAAAAAAGAATATTAAATATTGACATAATTGAATGGATAATTAATTGCTTTGCTGCAACAAACAAAACAAAAGCCAAGGTCTCGATTCTCCAATTGAGAAAAGCTTTTGCTAATATAAAAAACAAAAATACAGCGAAAATATTAATTTTAAATGTTTTCGCGTAATGAATTACGTATTTAACTCCAAAGGAATAAATAATGAAAAATTACCAAATGAGTTCATAAATTTTCTAGGTACAATTAAATATAATAACCATTTCATTTTAATTCAAACAAATCATGTAATTTATACAAAATTATGATTTGTTTTTAACAGATGCAGGAAGACGTGTATAATTCAACGAACTGTGGCAAAAACACCGCAAACCAACCCTCAAGAAATTTTTATTCCTGCGTATATTTACAATTTTAGGACTCATCTTGATACCTTTCTATCTTCTTTGTTATAAACATAATAATAAAATCAGTACCAAAAAACCATGAATTATCAAAAAAGATTTCTCGTCTACTTTTTATTTATTTTATGTGATAATGGAAGGTATTAGTATTTGCTGGATGTGGCATCTCTTCATGATAGGGTAATAATTTTTATAAAAAATTTTTAGTTTTTGGCAATGTATATCCGAATCTCATGATCGGTTATTTAACGCTAATATTTATATTATAATCATCCTAGTTAGTTCGTGATATCAAAAATTTGCTTGTTGAATATAGTAAACATGGACCGGATATAAATTTAGTTTCTTTTACATTTTCTAACGATAGAACCTTCCTTATTCTTCATAATAGAAGAACCATTTCTGTATAGGCTTTCCATTGTTTAGACCAAAAGAATTTCTTCTTATTGAATTTCCTTCATATTATTTGTTAAACGGCCGGTCAAGTTCTTTGCCAGCCAAAAGAACATCCGAAACTTCCTTCACCACACTCGAACAAACATCCGATATTGATATTGTGTAACTAATTAAATTATGCAGCTGGCTAAGTTTACATACAGTACGTATTTGTTACTTTTTAAGTTAATGTAAATAATGATACGTATAATGTCTTTTATTTTTGGTTAATGTACTGTTGCGTGCTACTATTTTAATCGGTCAAAGAGGGGTTTTTACGCAACTGGGATGAATTATTTCCTATTCTGGTTGACGATACGATCGGCACGGAATACATGTACATGTTATTAGGATCTTCGTGGGGATCGCCAAAGTGTTTACGGTAAGATTTTCATGTAGAAATTAGTTGAGCATTATTGCGGAATTAAGGGATTTATTGTTACTACAGTAACAGTACTCCGTTTTATCATAATAAAAAAGATTATTTTAAAGCAAATGTAAATAATTTACGTACTACATTATTTCTTTTCGATAAAAACAAAATAATTTTGCAAAATTTTAAATTATTTAAATTTAGAAAATTATTTCAGATACTTCCACTGGAGTTCTTGTCAACGTATTATTGCCATCAATGATTTATAGATCCAAGTACGTACTTTGTTGGCAGAGTGTCTTTTATCAGTTAATTTTGATTTACTATACCTAACCCTCCTGATATGGCGCATAACATCTAAACTCATCAATAGATTGTATCTGTAAATCCGATAAGCTTCTTCCCTAAAATATTTAATCATTGAATATGATAGAATTAAATTTATATTTGCTTTCTATTAAGATGCGCAAGTTCTGGTTTAAAATTTTTATCATCAGAAATTACTATTATAAAAAACAAATTTAATAATATGCAACCTTTTCTTCCAGCCTAAATTCAATAAAAGTATATTTTCATTATTCCACACAATAAATATTAAATTTGTTTAATGTCTGTACCTATCATAAAATGGCAACCATCAGAAATCCATGTCCAAAATAGTGTAATTATTTCCGCCAAAAGATTTTATCTAATTAGTGACTAATACAATTATCTAGCAACGCCATTTTGGTAGATTTCACAAATCACTCACATCTATTTATATAATTGATTGTGTCTATTTCAGAAAATTTGCTTATCTCATGCACTTTTTACATATTAATACATGTATATAAATACGCACACCAACTCAAATAAACGGTAAGACATATGATTAACTTTATTGTTTGTAATCAAATATTTTATTTTAATAATTTTTGTAGATGTTATTCTGTTATTCAAATTTTTTATATTAATAGAAATACATGTATTAGCGTTAGTATATACAGATATATTATAAAATTGAAAGGTTTGCAAGTTAATATCCCTTCGAGAAATTTGAAGTATTCGTTTAGATGAAGGTAGCATGATTTATTATTGATGGTTGATTTTTAAATATAAAATGAATATCAAATTTTTTTATTAGACTTTCTAAATCTAAAATGCAACGCAGTAGGTTATCATTGCTACATGTTAACAGAAACCATTTTGCCCCTTTAATAGAACCTATATGTTCATTCATTAGTATATTAGCTATACATATTAATTCACTATTTTATTGCACATGGTGATTTTGTTCTGCAATTCCACACATGCAGAATAGTTCATTATGTTGTAATACCTTTTTTTTGTTTTTTTTTTAATTGGTGTTTTATCGTTGCTTCTACGCAGAAATTAAAGAAAAGTGAATCCTTTAAATTCAATCCCCCTATTACTATTACTTTAGTTATTGCTAATTCTACTACCACTAGTATTTCTATCAATAATATCGCTCCCAACACTAAAAAGCGAATCAATAATAGAAAATATTTGGAAAAATTGTCGTTAACAATAATGAAGTTCGCATATCATGATCTGGAAATTAATGGGAATTTTTCCACTAATTTACAGATCATGATATTTATAATACTAATTTCTGGTGCGTGAATATCGGATACTAGATGTGAAATTTATTAAGCTTTTTGATTTTCTTTGATACCTTTAAGACAAATAGATATTTACTATTTTATATAAACAATTCTCGCTTTTACTCTTTAAGGAATAATGTGATATTTTCATTTTAAATTAAGAGTTCAATATTGGACCTATTAAGAACTTGATGTTGACCTTATTAATAATGAACTCAATGTTGACTTTACCTGATGTTGACTCGGATGATAATATTAGGGAAGCATGAATAATTAACATGATAACTAATAAATTGAGTAGTGATTGAACAAGAAATCCCGATATCGACACTTAGTGCGACAGGGTATTAATAGGAAGTAAGCTTTGAGCAGACGAAATAATTGATTATAGCACTTCATATTTTATGTATATTGTACAGTCATCCCTCTTTATAAGAACATGGTCGGGCCATAAAAATTGGTTCTTCATCATAAGTCGTCAACAAAATTCACTGTTTTTGATTATATTCGACGATGGTTATTGAACTAAAATATTTACAGCCAATCCCTCTCTTTGAAAAAAAGTGTGTATATAAATGAATGTGACTATAGAGGTGATTGATTCACTTTCTCAATACTTGTCATTTGGAACTTTAGCTCGTTCGTCAAATAGAGTTTACGCATCCCTGAATCGATCATGTATATACGTAGAAGAATCGGCAAACACGTCGATTCGATCAAAGGATTGGTTAAAGTCAGATACAAACGCAAATTAATTGAAGATAAAAAATTGGTGACCAAGAGGCATAGAAGAAAATAAAAAAATTATTTATTGGATTATTGTTAAATATATCACATATAGCATATTCGTAAATGAGATATACATGTCTTATTAATAAATGAATAGGATTTATTCTTGAAAATCCAAAATGTTATACTAAATTCTTTTACAAGTATTCGCTTTTACTGATATATAAAATCACAAACTAAACTTTTTCAAATTTCCAACCAGGACGCACATAAAAATTATACGACTCACCCGATTTCACATATTCCATAACAAAATTCGTAAGAAACATATTATCCGGATTAACAAGCAATTTATCATAGGCATCCACAACAAATTGACAATTCCTCAAACGAACTTTATCTAAACTTTCCGGGTCATTCCCCAAGCTGAAATTTTTATCACCCGGAAAAAATTTTTTTCCTTCTAATGAGCGTATTTGGATCGAGGCGATACGTTGAGAATAATGATGTAAGCAGCTACTTTCTTCAGGAGGAGACATTCCGTTGAAATAAATGAAGATAAAGTCGTCGTATTTTTGATGGTAGACAGAGTATTGCATGTGTATTGATGTTAAAAAATCGTCTTTTTGTTCACGATTGTTGTCAATGGAATCAATGGCGATAGATTTTACTTGGCCATGGATAATCGAAATCTCGAAATTATCATAGTTGTCGCCTTTAGCAGAAGTTTCAACGTTAACATCGATTATGGGAATTTCGTATTTTGTTGGTACTCCAACCAACGAAACAAATAAGAAATTGAAAAATAAAGCGAATATATAAATATTTAAATAATGTGTCATCATCATCACTGTTAGAAAGTCTTTTGTTGAAGCTGAGCATGCATTTATAAAAACACCATAAACTGGCTTGTCCCACATGATCGTAACACGTGCATGTAATATGAACTTTATCTTCACTATTTCGGTTAATGACCATAAAAAGACGTGATTCTAATTAGCTTATACGTCATCGAATCTAGGCTAAAGTTTCGTCAATAAAATGTTTGAGGAATTTAAAGTATTCCTAGTTTGATAAAGCAACACCGGTGATTATGGTGCATAACATCTAAAGTCATCAAACGTTTGTATTTTACAAAATGTATAAACATCTTTACTAAGGAGTAAATATAAAATTTAATCCGTGAATATGCTCAGAAATGGCCTATTCTATCATATTCACGGATTAAATTTTGCATTTAGTTCTTTGTAAAGATGTTTATACATTTTGTAAAATACAAACGTTTGATGACTTTAGATGTTATGCACCATATTACCACCCCTCTTTTAAGAAATTTAAATCTTAATTTAGCCTCAAGGCTATTAATTTTGTATAGGAAATTACAGATGGAACTTGTATATCATTTTGCAGGAGAATAATCGGTTTTACTAAAGGAATCGGACTAAATTAAGGGTTAAATTTTCTTCAAGGGGGGGAGGGAGGGGTAACGTTGTTTATAAAATCTTGTGATAAAATGAGACTAAATTTCTTTGTCTTATGTCCTCGATACTCCGTTCGTTCTTGGAAATATTACCACAGAGCAAAACTGGAATATTCTGTTCATCCAGTCTGTTAAGAAATCTGGTTAATTTATTATATAGGCAGTATCCAGTATTTCCAGTATTTCCAGTTTATCAAATATTCGCTACCTTCACTTAAATTTCGGATCAACCTGAAACTGGCCCATATTGTCTGGTTCGATCCTTTGATTTTCAGGTCAGTCTCATACCTGGACCGAGCCGGACATTCGGAACAATACTATACACAGATTCGGGAATATATGGCAGGAACTCTTGAATCGACAATATGTTTTATGTTAAAAATTATTTCAACTTCTTAATTAAGAAATAAATACAAAATTTAACTGGTAATATTATGGAAAAGAAATTTCTTGATAATATGGTGCATGCCATCTAAAGTCATCAGATGTTTGTATTTTATAAAACGGATAAACTTCTTTACTAAGAAGTAAATACAAAATTTAATCCGTAAATATGCTAGAATAGACCCTTTCTGAGCATCTTTACGGATTAAATTTTGTATTTACTTCTTAGTAAAGAAGTTTATCCGTTTTATAAAAGACAAACATCTGATGACTTTAGATGGCATGCACCATATTACCGGTTAAATTTTAGATTTACTTCTTAGTAAAGAAGTCGAAAGAATTTTTTAACCTGATACATATTGTCGATTTAAGAGTTCTTGCGCCATACAAAATGCCAATTTTATGTTACAGGAAGTGTTGCTAGTAGATATAAAATTTTATAAATCCAGTTTAAAGCGGTGTTTAAGGTTCAATTCAATTTTAATCTGATTGCAGGTTCGCAACAAATAAATAATTCACTTGCGGATACAAAAACCAACATATATCACATACTTGCAGAAATAAAAATATTGTTGCATAAAAAATTTATTATGATTTAGCCTTAACACCATTTAAAGGTCCAATATTCTTTTATTACAAGCTTTTATAACTATAAAAGTTAAACAGTAACACGTAAATATGGCTATTATTCGGTTCATTCAGTTTATTGACCATCAGTCTTTGGAAAGACTGAACCGAACCGCGATCCCCAGACCGATGGGGGACCGAATTGAAAAATACCTGTTAAAGAGATTGCTTGTAGAGTTTCAGATTTTATTGCATGTATAGCTATTTCTATGAGAAAAGTTTGTGTTTACAATCACAATATTAATTCAGCTTAAAAAAATATTGCATTCATGTGTTACAAAAAAAAAACTAATACTGGACCAAAAAGATGAGATTATTACAGGAAATTGCACTGGAACTCACATGGAATTTTTTCTAAACCTTTTTTCAAGCATAACGACAATTTAATAGAACCGTCGATCAATCATCAATTTCTTCGATTACAGGATAGATCGAAGGATCATCTATCCAGACCGGACCAATTAACATAAATTGAATGTTAAGTAAGCAAATAAACAAATGCATTGTTTTGGTTAATACAAATAAACAAACACGTTGTTTTGGGTGATATTACACATCAAATTGTTCTGTGAATGGCAACTTAATATATGTATCTATACTTAATAAGAGAGTATATATTGATTCATGTTGAACCAGATTCACTTTTTCAAATATCCATACAGATTTTCCAAGTGATGAATTTGAAGATTTTATCAAATTAGTTGTTAAATGGAACTTATTAGATATATGCAGCAGTAAGATCTCAGATTTTCACAAAAAAATATCACAATAATGTGCTTTTACCTACTTCAACAAAACAAGATCATTAATTCTTGGATCAAATAAATGCATTATATATTTTTTTGAGAAAGTGTCTATTATAAATTACAAGAGTAAAATATATTATCTTTATTATTAATTAATTTTTAATGCAATCAAAGAATTACTTGAAAATAAAAACATTTTGAAAAATTATATTTTTTTCACTAATATATTATAAAAATTAATATTTATATAGTAAATATATAAAGTGAATGATGAGAAAGAGCTCAAAGATCAATTTCAAGCAATGCTAAAGTATTTCAATAATTTTATATTCTAATATATCAATTTGCAATTATATAAATAAATTTAGTGAGCATTTAGTTTGTTTAACTTTAGATAATATATATAACTAACATAAAAATAAATCAGATATCAAAGTTCTTTCGATTATTTTTCAAGTTTTAAAATACTAACTATTTTTCAAAAGAGATCAATTAATTTTCATATAGCAAAGCAATATCTCTACTAATATATTTTTAATATATTAATATGATTAATTGTTATTCAATTATCAAATAATGAATTTGATCTTTAAACAAATAATAATATTCTATAGTATTATTTTATTTATTTTTATAATATTAGATGATTTTTCTAAGAATGTCATGTTAACTTTGATATTTAACTCTATTAATTATAAATATTCATATTATATATATTTAGTATTAGCCAATAACTTAAATAATATATCAATCAAATTATTTTAAAATATTAAAAATAATAAAAATATTATTGATACTGGCTTTGTATAATAATATTCTCTATATTATATCTTTTAAAAACATCTATAAATATATTTTAAAACTACTTTATATATATATAATTATTTATTAGTTTAGTAAAAAATAATCAATTGAATATCTACTCAATCATAATTCTAGATCAAATACATTATCTTGACTTATACAAAAGTTTTGTTCAGATTGGATTTGAGATCAACCTGAACTGATAATTTCAGATCAAATTGGATTCAGATTGGGTTTGATCTAAAAATCATAAAATAGTTTTTATTTGATAATTTTTATTTTTACTAAGATATTTATATTCACAAATTTTCATTTAATTTCAATTAATATTAAATGAAAAATAATGATTTTTAGGCTAATTCAAAATATTTTAGATCAGATTTGACTCCAATTCGATCCGATCTAAATAGGCATTCCAGATCAGATGACGAATTGGATCTGATCTGATTGGAGCACTAATTTATACAAGGAATATAATCTTGAACATTATTTGATAACAATTTCAAGTTTTTCCAGACTGAAAATATTCAAAAATGATTTAAAAAAATATCAAACAGTTTATAGCAAATAAATTCTGCAATATGATGAATATGTTTTTTTTATTATTGAAGGTTTAATAATAAATACTATAAAAGATCAATACGTAAATATAAATATTATTCATAGGTACAATGATATATTGGTAAATATTTACTATTATTGAAATAAAATATATATATTTAGTTAACAGGAATAGTTTTTAGAATTAAATCTCAAAGAATTTAAGATAATTTAACAATTATATACACACTCTACAGTATATTATCAGAAATTTCAAAAATGAATCTGTCACTTTGGAACCCGATATCTCAACATTCAGTAATCCCATTCGAACAAAGATATCATCATTAAATTTGTATAGTCGAGACGAATCTAATAGTGATATATTTGTTCGAATGGGATCACTGGATGTTGAGATATCGGGTTCCAAAGTGACAGATTCATTTTTGAAATTTCTGGTAATATACTGTAGGTGTGTGTATTTACTATATGTATTATTGTTTCATCTTTGCTATATTATATCTATAGAATTTAATTACATATTTGTAAAGCTCTTTCAGAAGTTTCACCATCAGATCTTAACTACTTAAGCTATATAATTATTAAAAATTTGTCAAAATAAAGCCTTTTATGAATGGTATTTATTAAATAAAAATAGACTGAAAAATTTTTTTAAAATTATAGAAATAATTTTTTTATTTCAACTTAAATGTTAAAATTTCAATTCGTCACTTTTGACACGAAATTTCGCAATAATTTACTATGTTAACATGCTTCGTGGTATTAAGAAATCTTGTTCCTAACATCCTAAAGAATATATCTACAAATATTCATGATTTTGAATGATTCCTTATTAAGATATAAGCCGGTGACTATAGCAATTTTTGAAAAAAAATAAATAAAGAATTACATTTTTTTCTTGACATATATATAATTGTAGTAACGAATTCTATTCTAATATAATTTAAAAAAGCTGTTTTAACTATAATATTTATAATAAACATGCTAATAAATCTAGCAACAAAAATAATTTAAAAATATAAATTTATTATTTTTTAATTTTAAATTCTTAAATCAATGACTAATATTTTTAATTTCTGAATTTATTTTAATTTGAATTAGTATATAACAAATTTTGATAAACCGGAATAGCTACCAGAATATCCGAAAATATTGAATAGCAATAAAGAACATGATTTGGCTTTATTTCTGATGCATTTAAATATCTTTGATGCACAATACTTGATACATATTTATGATTCATATCTTTTGTGTGTCAGGATGTCATAATTATTGGTTAACTCTGCCAAGACATATTTGGCTATTTTGATACGTATTTTAAATGCCAATTCCTCTGGTACATGTATGTGTTTCAGATGCTTAGCCAACCTGTCTCTTAATCTGCTGTATTAGATACTATTATTTTTTCAAATTTTTTTTCTTTGAATAATTGTGCTGGCCGATTGTTACCTTGTTCTTTTTTGCAAATGGAAAAAAGAAAAACAAAACGGTCAATAAAACAACGAATTAACGTCTAATACCTTTAACTTCGAATTAAGCAAATCAGATACGTGGTGTTCTAATAATATAATTTTTGCAGTTAATTATATATTTAATAGACAAAACTTACTTTTTCATAATGAGACTTATACATTCTATTTCGAAACTTATCAAACAACTTTTTATTGAATATCTTTTAAATTAGAAATCAATATAGGTGAATAAAATTTCAGTGAAGAAATCCAACTATTTATATTAAGTGAGGGAGAAGATTTAATTGTTTTAGTTTATCGTTATGTTATTGGCTCCATTCCACCGAAAAATCCGAATATCGATTTATTGTAGGTAGCTGTACTGGATTTATCAGCGTTTCACATTTTGCTCCTAAAGACATATCGATATTGGGTTGATGAGAATTTATTGTGTTTGTGGGACTTATATTTATCGTTATTGGTGGTCCATCCAGAGGTTTAAGAATACTAAAAAAAAATCAAGTGATAAGTATAGGCATAAATCATTTAAGCTTCTAAAAATTCCGAAACATACCCGTAAATAAAAATTACATGAACAAAAAATCCGAACATAACAAAAACAAAGCTCCATAAAAATAAATATAATTTGTTTAAAGCTGGTATAAATATGGAGATATTATGCTGCCACATTCCGAAAACAACAAATATTATAAATAATCCGGCATCTAATTGGACGAATAAGAATACAACTACTGTCAACTATGAATTGAATTGAAATTGAAAGAATAATTAGAACAGATGTGTATAAATAATAACGATAAATAAATCACAATACCCACATTTCGAGAAAATCTTTTCGCTTGCTTCATTTTCCAATCTCTCTCTCTCAATTCTTTCATGTGTGCATTTAACACCGACTTTAACATGCACCAAAAAATGATAGTTGCGAGCGTGTGAAATCCACCCCAAAACGAATAGCTCACATAATGAATTTTGAAATATCTCTCGGCGTTCTCAATATCACCTATGTCTGCATAGTATCCAGTGAGTGCTGCTAGTGGTACACTACACAAAATTGGACCAATCATTAGTAGAATAGACCAGATATCAAGAAAATTTCCATTTGGTGTAGGAATTGCGTATTCATTTTCGTTACTTGGGATAGCGTAGACTATATAAAATTAGAGTTTTGTATTAATATAAAGTCAAGAGATATTGCCTATCAATTAATTGAATTTATTTTTATTTCTGATCATTAATCTCATTACTCACAAATACCAACCGGAAGCAGCGATGCAAGTCCTGTACAAATTACTCGTGGGATATCATGAGACACTAAATTTACGAATTAGCGTTAGCATTAAATCAATGAAACTTTAAACATCTCATTTTCCAGTAGATCACCTACCTTCTGCTACCAAAGTATTAGGAAATGCATCACTAATCAATAAACCTAAATTTATAGAATTTACTTTTGGGTGAAGGAAAAAAATAAACTTTAGTGAAATATTTATTTTGTATAAATTCCAGCCTGTGTGTCTTTGGAAACAGAATCTACCTATCATGAGCAAAAACTTACACAGATTATATGCAAAAGTAATTATAAGAACAGCATGTTGCGGTCGTGGTCGTATAAGCCCTCGTTCTCTTGTCGCTGGGAAAAATGCTCCTTGCCTTTTTACACGTATTTGATAATACAGAAAAGAGCCACTCATTAATGTTAACAGTATCGTTAATACTAATAAACTCCAAGTCGCCTTTCGTATAAAGTCTTCTTCGTCACATCCGCGAGTGTTTATTCGAAAATCACAAGCGCAAGTTTTGTTTGGGTGTAATTTTTCTATGTTAGAATCGGTAATGTTTTTACAAACGAGAGCAAATCCATTTGTGAGAATTGTCATTTCGAGTTATGTTTGTGTGATTTGGATTATCTGAAATTATACACGTGAATTATCATAACGATAAAGAAAGGAATATATCGAGTTAAAAAAATATGGAAGTAGTGAAAGAATACAAAGTTTAATAAGTCCTTTAAATAAAAACAAGTCTACTTAATTACAAAGTCACACCGATAAACTGACAAATCACAAATATTGAACCGACGCTCTCTAAGTTTACAGAAAAAACCGTGCGTACATAAAAAGGAAATAATAATTCTTCCTGAATAAAAATCACGCGAGCTCACTGAAATGAAACGCAATTTTAAAAGTGTGCTTAATTTTGTGAAGTGAAATGTTTTCAGATCGTACACTCATTTAGTCTATTCTTTTTTAAATCACTGAAAATCTCTATTTCTTTCCTTAGTTTGCTTTTCATTCTCTTGCTAAATTTGGAGACACGACCGAAACTATAGCGAATTTGATTAGAATTTTTCTTTATATACATACAGTATATGTTTATGTAATATTTCCGTTGTTTTATGAAACAACTTAAGAACACTGGGCTTGTTGAAGCGTTTTAAGTAAATATACAATTAGCAAATAAGAGAATTCTATGGTCTTTAAGATTATGATTGATCGTTTTTGTTAGTCTTTTTAGTAGGCAGGCAAAATTCAATATAAGAGTGACTATTTGCAAGAAAATTATTTAATGTGTCTATGTCTATTCATCATATAGTATTTAATTGGATTTTCGATCATCGGTCTAAATTTTATAAACGTAAAGCACATTTTATGATCGTTATCAATAAACTTTTTAATTACGTAAAATCGGAATTAGCTGTTTTTAATCCATTCATCAGTGATGATGCAGAGATTACGCTAAATTCAAAAAGGAAACCACATATATCGATAAATTCATTATCATTATTAAATTCATAGATTTTAATAAATTAAACGTTTTAATGAATCTATCCATTTTTTAGTGGCCTGAACATATCGCAACTTCTGGTCATTACATCATATTGATACTTGTGTATTAAAAAACAATCATACTTCTCTGTCCCATAGTACATCCATTATTTAGCCGTAATTTACGGCAAAAATTATAGCATTGCTACAATTTGTCGTTTGCCGTAATACCGTTATAAATTATCGGTATCCCCTTAGGATATACCATTGATCACAATCATTAATTTTCTAATACAAATTTGTTTTTTTAATAAATTTTAAAATTTCCTATTTTTTGAGTTATGTATTATTGATTATGGAATAGTTAATTAATTATCACACGATTACGAGAGAAAATTTTGCAGGTGAAAATTACATAATTTGCTTGTCGTATTAGAACTCTTTATATATGACATGCAGCTTTAGTGCGGATGGCACACATTGATGTGTTACCTTTTTAGAACCAACAAATTTCCAACTTACACCACATTCTAACATATCGCTTTATTTTTTTTTTAGCTATTTTTACCTCACATAACGTTAGTAAAAGCACTTTTACTAATAATCGAAAATACTTTTAATATCACTTAGCATTTTCATTTAATTGAACACTTCTATTCTCTGCATGTATTTATCATTAATGTTATAATAACATGTATCAATCCAGTAACTTGCCACAATAAACCTTTGAAAAATATTACACTTTCTTTAATCTCAATTTATCAGTTATGGACAAATTTGTGAGTTACAAAGTTTAAAATTCAAATACATAAGTATTTTTCCCTGTAATCCGTTACAAGTTACAAATGGTTACAGTTAATTACATCATTTACTTTACTAACAATTGCACACATGATACAGTGCATTATATATACAATTAGAAAGAACTTTTACATGTAATTTGGAATTAAAATTTTGTATTCTATATATAATCACCATTAAATTAGATAATGTAATTAACTGTAACCACATATAATTTGTAATGGTTACAGCGTTATTCTTATATGAAAAGTAAAAAAAAGCAAGAAATACGATTTTTAGCTAAATAAATATTTTAATAATTTTACAATTATTTATTTAAAAGTTTGTTTTAGTATGCTTTTTTAGTTTATAACAAGTATAAACTAATAATAATAATTTCATTTTTATTTTTTTTTAGTAAAAAATATATTTAAATTAATTAAAATAATTTAATTTAAATTTTTTAAGCAAATTATAATTAATTCGCTTAAATTAAAATAATTATAAAATTAATTTGTAATATTTTACTTCAAAAAAATAACAAATTTTTTAAAAAAAAATATAATAATAAATAAAATAAATAAAATTCTGAATATAATTTAGTAATATAATAAATTTATTAAAAAAATTAATAATTTAAAAATAAAATAAAAATAAATTAACTAAATTAAATTTTAAGTTATTATAAATATTAATATAAAAAATATAATAGTTTTAAAATTTACGAATATTTCTTTATATAAAAATTTTTAATTTTATTAATTAATATTTTACAATTTTCTTAGATTTAATTTGAAAAATTTTTTAATTATAATATAAATTAATTAATTTTTTAAATTAAATCTGAATAGTTTAAAAAATATATATTAAAATAGCAAAATCAAAGTTTAAAACAATATCAAAATTTATTAATAAAATATAATAAAATATAATAAAATATAATAAAATACGAGCTTTTTTCCTATATAAAGTTTTTAATTTTATTAATTAATATTATTTATTTTCATAAAAAATACAATTAATATATATCTCTATACTATATTATTAAAAATTGAAAAAAATAGTAAAATACAGTAAAATTGATATTATTGCTTTATATTAAAATTTGTTAGTTTATTAATAAATATTTTTTATTTTTATACTAAAATAATGATAATAATCTATATTTTTAATATATATTTTTCTAAAATTTTTTAGAATTTTCTGTTTATTTGTAAACATGGAAAAAAATTTTTTTATAAGTAAAATTGAAAAAATTGCAATTTAATTATAAAAAATTTTTTTTCATGTTTACAAGTGAACAAAAAATTCTAAAAAATTTTAGAATATTCTAGAAGAATATATATTAAAAATATAAATTACCATCATTATTTTAGTATAAAAATAAAAATTATTTATTAATAAAATAACAAATTTTAATAATGTCAATTTTACTATGTTTTACTATATTTATTTCAATTTCTGGTAAAATAATATAGGGATATATAATTTATATTTTAATATATATTTTAGATTTTATCTAAATAGTTTTAAAACTTTGCAATTAAAATAACTTAAATTAAATTTAAAAAATTCAGAAAATATATATATTAAAAATTAATAATATTAAAAACTTTTATATAGAAAAAAACTTGTATTTTATTATATTTAATTAAGAAATTTTAATACTTTTACAAATTATTATAAAGTTAATTATTATATTATTTTATATTTATTTTTAGAATCAAAATAAATTAAAAATAAAAAATTCCATTTTTAAATTATAAAACTCTGAAAAAACTTCAGAAAAAAATTAAAAAATTATTAAATATTTGAATAATTTTCAAAAAAAATAATTTATTTTTTTTAATATTTTCTTAAACTATTCTTTTTTATTTAAATTCTAAAAATTTATTGCTTAATTAAATAAATTATTAATTTAATTACAAAATTTTTAGCTCTTTTTTGAAAAAATTTTAACAAATTTTACTATATTTTAAATTATTTCAAAAATTAATATTTTTATAATTTTTAATATTTGATATTTTTTAAATAAAAATAATATTTATTTTATAATTATTTTATAAATAAAATAATTTTTTTTAAATTTTCTAGAAAATTTAATTTTAATTTAAATTAATTACAATTTCAAAATATTTAATTTAATTTAAGATTAATAAAAGCTTGTTGAAAATCAATAAATAAAGAACAAAAAATAATTTAAAATATTTAATTACTTTAGTTTTTATTAAATTAAATATAAAAAATAATTTAAATCTAAGTTTAATAAGTTTATATAAATATTATAATTTTTAAGTTATAATTTAATAACTATATAATTTTATTTTATTTTTTAATAATAATTCCATATTATTTTTTATAATTAACTATAAATTTATATTAATATTATTTGAATTTGTATTATAATAATTTGATTATAGTATAAATTAATTTAAATTATAATATATATTAATTAATAAAATTATAAATATATTTCAAATTTGAATTATTATATAAAAATTAATTAAATTTAAATAAAAAAATAAAAAAACTAACTAATATTATATAATACTAAGTTATTATAAAGCTAATTTTTTTCTCTTTTAGATAAGATTTTTATAATATTTATTTATTTAATTATTTATTTTTAATTATACAAAAAATGATTTTTGAGATTTTATTTTTCTTTTAATAATTTTATAAAATTAATCATTAATTTTATATAATAATAATTAAAAATAATATAATAATATTAAAATTTATTAATTAAATATACACAACTCTATATTATATTACTGGAAATTAAAAAAACTGACATTGTTTCTTTATATTAAAATTTGTTAATTTATTATATTTTTGATATATATTCTTTTAGAATATTCTAGCAAAACATATATCAAAAATATTGATTACCAGTTTTATTTTAGTATAAAAATAAAAAATATTTATTAATAAAATAACAAATTTTAATATAAAGAAATAATGTCAATTTTACTATATTTTTTTAATTTCCAGTAATATAGTATAGAGTTATGTATTAAAATATGAATTTTTTTCTTTATATAAAAGTTTTTAATTTTATTAATAAATATTTTTTATTTTTATATTAAAATAAAAATAATATCACATATT